GAACTACGTATCCATTAGTCACACGGCTTTTTCTCATGCCATATATTTAACGAGGTCATCCATGAGAGGAATATATTTGTGTGCACAATTCGGCATGATACTACTGTTAATGCAATTTAAGTAGTGCCTTCAAGTGCATTAGGCATGTTAGTGATATCAAGTACTAGAGTTGATGCAGGACATGGCTAGAGGAATAGTGCAGAAATGAAAGTAAGTAGGAACATGGTATAAAGGGATAAGTTCACCTTCCTCGAAGGTCTTCTCATCATAGAAGCAGTGCGGATAAAGTAGATCAGTATTTTATTTTTAGATGTCAATATTTGTTGACTTAATAGGACTCGGCTTTCCATTTCACAGGAAGAGTTGGTTAAAAGTAATAGGTAAATTAGTCTCATCGGAGACAGAATGGCCAAGAAAAGTGTACTTGGTGCGCTTCTTCACATCGGCTCTGATGCTTTGTGTCACAGCCAGACAGGTGAAAGCCCAGCACGGATTGATCAGAGTAGCAGGTGGGTGAGAAGAGAACTACTTTGCCCAATCCAAGGCAATCCTCCTGCGGCTTTCGGTGAAAACAAGTCGCGAATATATTTAAGATGTATTCACCCAATTTCGTGTAAGGTGATAAAGGACTGGTAATTGAATTTTCCCAAAATGCTATGAGTAGAGCTGACGTTTCCATTGAATTTCACATATCCTTGCTTTCTCAAAAGTTGTTCTCATCAAGAGTGGACTGCAGTCTCGACCCCGCCTAATGGGAGTCGACGCCTCCACCGGGAATCGAACCATAAAAATGCGGCATGTAATCTCGACATGCTGACCACTACGCCACATTGCCACGAATACCCTTGGGTCACAAGTCAGATGTGAATTCTGAGTAAGGTCCGGCATTTTATCATATCACATACTTTGGTGGGAATGTCGCTGAAGTAAAGTCATATTTGCTATACTATTCGACTAAATTACTTATTTTACGTTTATAAGCATATTTTCGACACTATCAGTAAATCAGTTATATGAAATGAGAACACGTTTTCGGCTAGCAAGGCTATATGAAATTCAATGCAAACATCAGTTCTACTCATATAATTGTAGGAAATTTCGTCTACCAGTCCTTCATCACCTTAAACTAAATAAAGTGAATATATCTCATATTAGTCACTCTAGTCGTAATGCATGCGTGTCAGAATAGTCATTAGCTCTTGAATTAGAATTCTAGGTAATCGAGGTCGCATGAGGTTGTAAAGGAACGAAATTTAATTTCTTCCATAATGAGCACAATAGACCTTACAATGCCATTGGCGGTAGTTTTAGCATCCCAGGAGGAAATGATCTTGTCTACAATGCAGCGTACAATTTCGACATGTTATCCCCACCCTACATCGCTACGAGTGATACTTGGTTACTGGGCATTTGTCAATTTTAAGGCATATCAGGCACACCTTGGGAGTGTCGATAAAGTAAGCTTGCGTTTTTTATTGCAATTGACTATATTACTTATATTCATAATAAGTATATTTACATACCACCAATTCTGGTCACCCGGGAAAGCTCAACTTCCTCACATTATGCGACCTGGGGTGACTACAACTTCTAGTTTACATGCAAATTGTTTAGGGCTAATCGATATTTTACAGCCAACCTTGAGGATGAGCTTAAAATAGATGTGATATCTTTTATTTGGTGCCGGTGAAGCAGCAGCAGTGAAGGCCGCCGCCCGAGCCGACCGCGACAAGGGGTTTCATCACCACCACCACCACCACCACCAGCATCACAATCAACACCATCATCAGGCCAGCTCGCATTCTTATTCCCAATCACAAATGGCCGTATCTCAACAGCCACCGCCACCGCTGCCACCGTTGCCCGCGCTGCCAACATTGCAACCACCGCCACCCTCGCCACCGCAGCACACCTCAACCTACACTCATCAGCATAGCCCTCCGCATGGAAACTCGTCTGCCATCCGCGACCGAGTTCAACTTCATTGCTCCACTGCGTCAATTACCACCTCGGCTGGCGGCCAGATCAGCCCACTGGCTGGTCCGTTCACCACGTCTGCGTCTGGGTTCGACAGCAGCCCTCTTGGTGAGACCGATTCTCTGACTAGGCCTAATCGAGGAGTCAGGTCGCTGGGGCCGGATTCAAGTCCGGGGATTGTAGATGAAGTAAGGCATTTGCAGCTACGACTTGCCATGGGTCTCACGGAGGAACAGTTTCACAGCCTAATTCAAGGTAAAAAGGGATTTAATGAATTATGATACTTAATAAACAGTTACCTCGACTGATTACTGATACTAATTGATGAGTAGTTAAGTAATATTCATTAAAATATCACTGATCTTCCTATTTGTGATAAATATACTGATATATGAGATGTATTTACGCTATTTCGTTTAAGGTGATGAAGGACTGGTAGTTGAATTTTCCCACAATGATATGAGTTGAGCTGACGTTTTTATTGAATTTCACATAGCCTTGCTTTCCCAAA